ATGGTGGAGATCTATGGCCAACGCTGTGTGGAGGTGACTCAGAATATTTTAGAGATGATGAACAAGACTGATCTGGTCGGAAAGTTGTCAGAAAGCAGCTCAGTATCTAAAGGTAAGTTTAAAAAATAGTGTTATTTGACTATAAAACATTAGGTGTACAGAACCTTGACTACATTTTTAAACCTCTATCTTTTTTTTAGTTTTATAAAGCTTCTGTGACGCTGATCAGCAGGGGATGGAGGCAACATGTGTTTAGGCTTTTCTGTCCATTTGTTTGTTGAATGTCCCATGTTTTTAACTAGAGTGTCTGGAGTAAATATCTTTAAAGTTTGCACAAACAATCACTAGGATAAAGCAATAGTGTGATCAAAGGTTAAGGTCACTCACCTCACATCAGAGAATGGTCTCATGAAAGTGAAATCACAGCAATGGATAAAGGGGTTTATGTTGGGATGGGATGTTGTTTTTAAAAAAAAAGTCTGATAGAACATCATGCGTACAAATTCTCAAAATGTAGGTCCAAAGTTTTGAACACACTACTCTTTTTCTTCATGTTTTTTTTTCTCCAGCTGTTAGAAGGGTTTAATGACATTCACATGCTCTGCAGACAAACACAGATAAAAAGAGAAGTTCTCTGCTAATATAGTTCTGTTGACCCTCTACTGTAAGCCTTCTTATGCGGCACCTATGTTTTGATATACAATCACTGCCCCAGCAACAGTTACCGTATTTTCCGCACTATAAGGCGCACTTAAAAGCCTTTAATTTTCTCAAAAAACGACAGTGCGCCTTACAATCCGGAGCGCCTTATATATGGATCAATTGGTTAATTGGTTGATCCATACTGGTTGTACACGGCGCTCAGCGACACTGACTCGGATAATGACGAGAGGGAGCCGGGCATGTTGGATGCCGTACTCGCCTAACTGTTCAATTCGGACACTGAAGAAGAAGAATTCGAGGGATTCGTGGACGGGGAATGAACTGAAAAAGTGAGCTTTACGTGTTATACGTAACTGAACAATGTTGAGTTATGCACTAACGCAGGGGTGCCCAACCTTTTTTGAACCAAGATCTACTTTTAAAGTTACCAGTCTGCCGAGATCTACCAGTCCACATAGTGAGCCATAGCCTTTACCAACAGCCTACAAACGCATTTAATACTCACACAACAAACAGAAAATAATAAATGAGAGTTCTGTAAAAAATAATGCAGACTACAGAGTACAGCAGGCTGCTGTGAGATGATTTTGCTTTTGTTAAATTAGCTGCAGACACGGTGAGAGTGAACAGAGTAAAGTCCAACCGACTGTTTGACCGGGTCACGTGTGTTCACGCCTCGGTCCGTAAAGATCACGGATCAACTGTGTGCTGTAGCACTAAAAGTAAAAAGGTTCGCGTGGTGGCTGGCGCTCCAGTGCAAGTGTGTGTGTGTGTGTGTGTGTGTGTGTGTGTGTGTGTGTGTGTGTGTGTGTGTGTGTGTGTGTGTGTGTGCGCGTGCGTGCGTGTGTGTGTGTGAGTGTGCGTGTGCGCTGTTTGTTGGTGTGTCTCGTGCCCCGCGATGCTCACAGTCATGACAGCAGAGAGGAGCAGAGAAAAGTAGCTGTAGCTTCATCAAATGCGCTTAATACTCGTAGCATAGTTTCTATATATGACTTTTTGGTAAAACATTTAGACCCCCGGTTTTACCTGCACGTCCTTGCGCATGCCTGCACTCTCTCTCTCTCTCTTGCTCTCTCTCTCTCGCTCCCCCGCTCGCTCTCTCGCTCGCTCTCTCGCTCGCTCTCTCATGCACGCAGCAATTTCATGAATAAATGAAAAATTAAATACAAACAGGTCGGAAGTATACTTGGGCTCCCCACACAGGTATCGTGTGTGGGAAACAGTGCAATGAGATGAAATTGAAATCACTTTTCTATTTTACAATTGTATTTTATATTGACTAAACATCTCGCGATCGACTGAGAATCAGTCAGCGATCTACCTGTCGATCGCGATCGACTGTTTGGGCACCCCTGCACTAACGTTTGAATTAGCGGTATCAGACTGTGTTTCTTTTACATGTTTACAACTGAACAAGGCTGGGAGATATTGTGAATATGCACATTAACGTTTGAACAACGTTGAGTTATTGTGAATGCACTACGTATAAAACTACGTTTTGAGAGTTAAGAGAAACGTCAAAGAAATAATTTATTATTTGGGGAAGTCGTCTTATGTACTTTTGTTTTTGTAGTTTTATACGTTACGTTTTATACGTATTTATATTTATATATTCACAATATCTCCCAGCCTTGTTCAGTTGTAAACACGTTCTATTCTATGCGCCTTATAATCCGGTGCGCCTTATAGTGCGGAAAATACGGTACAACAAAAGTAACGAGATCACAAATAAATTATTTTGTTTACACAAGACAACAAATGTGTTTTATACCTGTGGGTTAATTTTTCTAATCGTATTAAAGTGGTGGAGTTAGCTTAATTTAACCAATCACAATCATGACTGCGTCTGCCGTCAGCAGATCGTCATATCAAACAAACTCTTAACAAACTAAATTAAAAATAAGAAGTTCAAGACAAATGTAAAATTATACGGGACACATGAAGTGTTGGTCGGTCTCTCTCCCTCCTCCGCTCTCTCGATCAGCTGCGGGAGCTCCAAGATCAAGAGATCTGACTGTTCAGTGGCGGAGATTTTTAGGTTGATCTCTTATCTTGAACATAATCTGCTCCGGAGCAGGTTAGGTGTGCAGCATAGGTTACCGTGGCGATATACCCAGGTAAGAAGTGAACCACCTTCGTAGGACTGAAAACCCAGGGTTAACCCTGAAGTTACCTCGCTAACCCCAAATCCTGCTTCGTAGTACAGACCTCTGGACTTTTCAGTTTAATGCCAGATTTATTCATCTGCGTCTGCTAAATGAAATTGTAACATTAGCCACTGACCTTTGTTATGTCAAATAATAAAATATTGTATTTCTGAACTGAGGCTGACGTCAAGCATGGCCCTTTCAGGTTGGGGAAGATTTATTAACTTTTTATTTTTTATTTCTCTTCAGAGAAACATCAGCCTGAACTGCCTCATCAAGTGAGTAAAGTAAAATCAGAAACACATTAAACAACAAGGTTTCCATTTATTTCATGTTTTCGTTACATGAACATAATTATTCTCATCTTGATAGTAAAGTGGTGGAAAAGGTTTTCAGCTGCAGATGGTAAAGAAGGAGGACAAAAAAAGTACTATGTTGTGATGATGTTACAAAAAGAACATACTTAAGAATACTTTGTTTTTATAGAAATTGTTGGAGCCAAAATGTGGGTTTATGTTTTGCCCTTTAGTTTTCCTTTGGGTATGTGTGTGTGTGTAGTCCCTTTACTGGACACCGTGTGGAGCCTGAGCTGATTCTGTGCTCCAGGTGATGGTAGCAGGTGAATGAATAGTTTTCAACCATGGCAGCCTGTCAGAGATGAGCCTGATTTTATTTAATATACCAGATTTGTCTATTATTTATCATATGGATGCAGTGGGACATCGTTTCATCCTTAGAGCTGAGCATGAATCCTAAATATCTTCCACATTCATCCCTCAAGTGACTTTTTTTTAGACAATATTGGATTGGTTAAAATTGGTCACTACAGTAAACTTCAAATCTGAAATCATCATGGTGTCACTGTGACTAAGGTACTTGATTTTTATTGTTACAATAAGCTGTTGAGGTTGTGCTTTGCCTGTCAGCACCTGTGTGTCTGATCAGACTTAAAGCTGTTTGTTTGCTCTTACTGACATTGTTTCCTTTTTTATAGATCCTTGTTTGTGTTTTACTTACTCTCTGATGTATGTTGCTTTAGATAAAAGTGTCTGCTAGGGGAATTGTAGAAATGCAGAGAAATAATAATAATAATTGAAAAAGAGTGAATACTGATTCTGATGGGTTTGTGTAAATCACTGTGGAGAGTCAGTTATAACTGTGGTGTGTGGTTGAAGAAAGGGTTAATCATCAGGGTTTTAGGTTCCTTTAATCTGAATGATAGGAATCTATGAATTCTGGATTTGTGGAATTGTGGTTATTAAAACAGAACAAACAAGTACAAATGAAAATGTGTATACAAATTACACACAACCTCTAATAAACATCCAAGACCTCAATTAGCAAGGTGATGCAGCCACATGGCTTAATTGCTGGTTAAAGTTGTCATGTCAGAGATGCGTGATCTTGTCTGGCTACACATTCCAACATTAGAAATGCTAAATACACACATCAGCTTTCTTACACCATGCTGTCTAAAGGAACATAAACAATATGCATTTAGCTTTCAAATATCTCAAAGAATGCTAACAAATTAAAAGTATTTCCAGTAATGCTAACAGAAAGAAAAGTATGAAGTAAACACAAAAAGAACTTCTATTATTGAAGCACAATCTCCAGCTCTCACCAAAACATAAATTTTACTTCTTGACTGCAAAACTTGTACTTTCGATGCTGACTTTCTCTCTCTTACTGCAGCTTCTCCACATGTGCAATCCTCCCTCTGGAGTTGTTAGTCTTAAAGGGGCAGGGGTCTTTTTTTACAATAATACTTTATTTGTATGGCACATTTCAATACAGGTAACAAAGTGCTTTATGACAGACAATAAAAGCAAACCGAATATAAAAGCAGCAGACAGGCAGTAAGACAAACAGACAATAAAAGCAGACTCATAGAATAAAAGATTAAAATTCAAAATGAAACCACAGATTAAAAAAGCTTTTTTGTAAAACAATGTCTTAAGTAGAGAATTAAAACGAAGGACTGACTCTGCATGTCTGATCTCCTCTGGCAGGCTGTTCCAAAGTCTGGGGGCTCTGTCAACAAAAGCCCTGTCCCCTTTAGTTTTCAGCCTAGACCTTGGAACAGCCAGCGGAGATCTGCCAGAGGATCTCAGACTGAGTCCTGGTTCATAAGGGGTTAAAAGCTCAGAAATGTATTGATAAAATAAATTATTGATCTAAGCATTTTACTTTTCAGATGATTACCAAAGCAATTCCCATGCACCAGGTAAGCCATTCTTAGCAATCATTCTTTTAGGGTTGCATGCCAACAAATTTCATTAGGCCTAATTACTAATAAGGTAGGTAATGCAATGACAAGTAAGCTTACAAACAAAGCAAATGGTTAAGAACTACGTTTTACATGCTCTTTCAAATAAAACAACTTTACATTTAAAAAGAAACTTAATTTTTTGTCAAAAAAGATATTTTAGGCACTAGCCCATTGTACCTGAACATCAAGACGGACCCTGCTGATACTCAAGTCTGATATTTCAAAAACAATTATACTTAATCACATTGTTTTAACAAATAATTAGACCCATGCCAATTTATAAAAATATCATTAGATCTCATGCATAGCTTATTTGATGGTCTTATAGATCTTTTACCAAAATGTGGCCCATTTTAGCTAACTTAACCCTTATTGTTGTTGTATTATATATCAGTTGGAAAGCCTGATTAGTCACCTTTACAACGAGGTAGGGGAGAGCGGGGTATCTTGTCACACTTTTGGCTTTCACCTAAAATTCTCGGTCTAAGTATATCACAGTCACTCAATTTCTGTATGTTACATATCACTTAGCAGACGCAAAGCATCCAAAGCGATGTACATCAGAGAGTAAGTACAACACTAATCCATTCATACACTGCCACTGAAGCAGCCGGAGCAATGCAAGATTAAGTGTCTTGCCCAAGGACACATCGGCCATGTTGCTCAGCTGGGGATCAAACCCTTGACCTTCCGGTTGAGAGGCGACGACTCTACCAGCTGAAATCTTAGCTAAATATTTAGAGTCTTAGCTAAATATTTAGAAGTCGTTGCTAAATATTTTGTTTGTATTCTATATATTTAGCTTTGATTATAAATATTTACAATTTTAGCTAAATATATAGGATCAAAGCAAAATATTTAGAATGTAAACTAAATGTTTAGAAACGTAGCTAAATATTTAGAATCAGGACATGTATTTTTAACATTTATATATAACATTTAACATTTAGATAAAACATTTAACATTTATATTTGCCAATGAAATTATCTTACATTTTTATTCACAAAAGTAAATATGACAAAGTTCACAAATATTTCTCTAGATGTGAATAAAAAGTGATTTTTTTAGGGCTAAATGTGGAGAAATGTTGTTGTTATTTGTAGTGTGTGTAACAGGTACGGGATGGAACCTGCTTACAGCTTAAAGTATGTCTGTAAAAGACAAAGAAAACACACTGAGTCGACTGTAGTTGTTCACTCTTCTGTCGCTTCTGCCAGACTGAAGCAGAGCGCAGCAACTATAACTTTAACCAAAACACAGATACGTTTGTATAATATTCATACAAAATAACCAAATACAATAACAAAATGTGACAACACATTTCGGTGTGTCACATGTGCGCAACTTTACAATCGGCGCCCCATAATGAGGTCGGGCTTCCTTTGCAGGACATTCAAAGTGGCCTATTATCACAAAAATCAGCAACAATTAGGCTACAACGTTAAGAAATTGATATGTTTTTTTGTGCAATCATACAAAATGTAGTTGAAATAGTATAGTTTATAGCACAAATTAAAGTAGCCTTTTTGAACGAGCCCGCTCCCTTTTTACTTTTGCTTTCGCTGACCACTAACCAAAGATCGTCTATAATAAAGATTAACCACCACGAGATTTCCTCCATTCCAAGCAGTAGCTCTCATTTCCCTCTTAGAAACGGAGGGATAGGATTTTCAGTAAAGAATTACATGTGATATTTCAGTCAGAGTCGAAGTCTGTCCAAGTGGCCCAGGCTTGAATCCGACCTCTGCCTCCTTTCCCGCATGTCATTCCCCACTCTCTCTCTCTCCCTGATTTCCGACTCTTTCCACTGTCCTGTCTCTACAATGAAGGCACAAAAAGCCCACAATAAACCTTTAAAAAGAAATCCTGTGAACATCCAAAACTTAGAAATCCACTGATGTATTTTCACTGACTAATACGTTAACAGTAGAACTCCAAACCTTATGAGATTAAGAAATGAACCTTCAAACCGACAACCCTTTGGAAGACACTTTAGCTCAGTTGAGGGAGCAGGCCGCCCCATGGGCTACAGTCCTTGAGGAATCGACTGCAGATTCAACTCCAAAGCTCAGACCTGCGATGCATGTCGACTGCAAATTTCCTGTCTCTTCAGCTGTCCTATCAATAAAGGTTAAAAAGGCCAACAAAGAAATATCTTCACAGTCTAAAACCAATCCAATCCTTTTCTCTGTTTTTGTTTTTAGCTGCAAGACCCTCAGCCGGAGCAACTGGTGTAGATACCACATCAGATGGTAGGAGGACACGTCGTATAAGGCTGTCATGAAAGAAGTCATGGATCATATCATTCAGTATCTGACTGTAAAGGTCACTTTGTAATTCACCACAGAGGTGGATATTTCAAACAAGCCAAACTTTTCTGATCTAAACAGAGTTCAGGCTCAAGAAACAGAAAGCTGATAATTGCTACTAATGAGTATAAAGGAATATTTTGACGAGTTGAAAAGATGTGCATTATTTTTATGGGTTAGATGAGAATATTTATACCACTATGATATAAGTAGAGTTGGCTTCAGCTAGATTAGCATCAGGACTGGAGGTAAGGGCAAACATCTTGATGGCTAAAAAAAAGCTGTCTTCCAGCAGATCTACAGCTCACTGGCTGACAAGTAGGGCTGCACAATATTGGAATAAAACAGACAGTGTGGTATTTTTTCTCTTTATGATATATGTTGGATATGAAAGTGTAAGTAATGCTAGATAATCAAAGGTAATCTACACACAAACAGTAATTACAGATGATACTTTTTAAAGCACTCTTTAAGAATAAGATCGCTCCTCTTGTAATATAGAAATGAGAGAAACCCTTTTCTCTGAGACTTCTAAACAATACATTTTCTTTCTTTTCAACAAGTGAAGTCAGGCACAGAAAATAGTGTCTGATCCTACCTTCTTTCTTCACTCTGAGTTTCAGCTTTTCCCCTCTGGGTGAAGATTCAGGGTCCCTCAGACCCGGCTGAACAGTTACAAACATTCATTTGTGCCAATGTCCGTTAATATTCTGAATGACAGGTAATGTAGGATGTGCCCAGGGTCCGTGCAATATGCCAAATGTTACTGCTGCAAGAAGGTGTTTTTATGTATATGGAATTGTTACATGAAATGCTTTATGTTTTGTATGATCTATATTTATGTATTTTCACTCTCTTGTAACTGCAGGTCAGAGTCCAAAAATGATTTCCCTTTGGGGAAGATAAAGTAAATGTTGATCTTGATATCTTGATCTTGAAGTCGGCCCCTGCTGGCCATTACAAAGAATGCATGTCTAATGCACCTCCATGTTGGCTTATTTTGGGGTTTTTAGAATATGCAAACTATTTTCTGCAGACTAAAGTTATCAAGTTGGCTTTATGTTATCTCAAACTACAAACAGTCCTTGACTATTTTTTTTCTCCTTTCTCTCAGACCAACACTTTGTGGATAAATATCAACTCCAGCTCACTGAAAGAGTGAGCCACATGGATCCCATTCTGGATCGGCTCCTCGATAGAGGTGTCCTCCAGCGTGAGGCTTACATTACAATCAGAGCTCTGCCGACCTCTCGGAAGAAGATGAGAGAGCTCTACTGCGGTTGCCTGCAAGCTGGTGCTGCTAGCAAAGATATCTTCTACCAAATCCTTCTGGAAAATGAGAAATTTCTCATTGAAGACCTCAATACAAAGCACTAAATGTTGGGGTGAAATCTTTTTTAGACCAAAACCAGTTTTTAATACATGAATAATTGGGAAATATTCATTGCAATGTTATGTCTCTATGTGGGTTTCCTATTTGACTTTTGACCAGATTCAGCAAATATGATGATCATGCAAAAATAATGAACACAGTTTATAATTGAAGAGCTCTCCTTTTTTAACCTCATTAATTGATGTGAATTAAAACCAAATTATGTGAATTCTGCCAAATGCTAAAAGATTGTTTTTCCAAGTCTTTTTTTAAATACATTTTCATAAACACCATAATATCATAACACAATCGGGGAATAGAGTACAGAGCTGAAATTTACGTCATGATATTAATTATAACTTTTTTACCCTACAAGGATACTGTTACATTTGGATGGTGTTTAAAAATGTCTGCATCATTGAAACGTTTTCTAATCTTTAATAAAACATTCAAATTTGTATGTGTGGTTTTAATATGTTGAGTGTGAAGTCTCTTTAAAATTGTAAAGTAAATACAGTGATGTAGAATTCACTCCTGTTTCGACCTTTACCTACAAGTAAAAAAATATATATATTTTCATCTAAATATTGATTGTTTCCGTATCTCTTCAGAGAAGTTCAAGTCCTTACAGTCACACTGTTGTAAAGTTGGATGTTGTAAGAAAGAAAATATTCAAATTTTAACTTTTTCAAATACAGTTTTAAAACTACAAACATGTATACAGTGGTATGTACACCAACTATGAATAACAAGATGTATTCGTTCATTCATGTGATGTAAGAGTGTACTGCACACGCATCTATCTTTCACATTTTTAACAGCTGTTATTTGTTTATAAGCGATCAGTAAACTGGAGGTTGGTTTTGAGGAGCAAAGGGGCTTTGTTAGATAAATAGAGACAAAGAAACACGTTTTACATTAATCATTATTTACATTAATAAAGTTTCATATAAGATCATTAATGATCTTCGTGTTTGGAAAAATGTTATGTGTTCTAATTTCCCTATAATTTAGAACCTAATAAATCATTTTTAGTGTTCCTAGGACATTTTAAAGTATTTGTGTTTATAAAATACAGAGTTCATTATCGGATTATCAGTAAAAAAAAAAAAAAGCCCACAAATAGGCCTCATCAATGGACAATTCAATATTAAAGCTTTTTGCATGTAGAAATTGTCCTCATGGTTTTAAGCAGACTGCAGGTTGTTTGTGTTATCAGGTAAAATAAAGAGACTAAACACTATTACTGTGTTTGTATTTCATTAGAAATAACACAGTGCGTATTTGTGCAGACACAAACAGCTGTTAAAGCTGACTGACAGCTGAACATGATCAGCTGATGTCATCGTCACTAAGGTGGGATGGACCATAGACTGTAAACAGCAGGGATATCATATCTCTTAGAACATATTTCCTCTCGCCTCTGCTTTATTTCCTTGCATCTCTCCGCGCATCTCTGGTTGGAGGGACTCAGAGGAGGAGGCAATTAATGGAACTGAGACGTTTCCTACCCAAAAGCTACGCAGCACAGGGCTATCTTCGACTTCCTGGTAATAGATGAGCAAAAGGTAGACATGTGACTGGGCTTTAAACTTGTTCTTTTTTTAAGAGTTGATAATTACTAAAAACATTTTGACGCGTGGAAAGACAGAAACAAGGTGAGTATTATTTTATCAACGTCTGAACCAAGGGGCAACCTCCGGTCTCGAAAAATGAAGCCTATGCGGAAGTACAAAAAACTGCAGTTCGTCGAGTGTCCGCTTGAGGCTGGCTGCAGAAGCGCCGGAAGTGCCAGAAGCCCACAGCCAAAAAAGCCCGTTTTTACCACAGGAATCAACATGTTTACAGCCTGGTTCAAAAAACGAGATATATCTGAGAAGTTGACGGCCCCTTCTCCTCACACTGTGGGGGGGGGAATTTTTTTATAACTCATCGGATTTTATTCTATTAAGGAAAACGACTATGCCCATATTTGGTTGTGTCAGATTTGATTGACAGCTCTGCGCGGTCAGCAGGTCAGGAGGCTAACAGCTTGATCCGTCTGATTTCTCCTCTTTCCTCACTTCGTTTGGAGAGTTTGTTTAACACATATCTGACAACATACATGGCTTGCTGTGCGGTTAACAGACCATCCAACAAGTTGATGCTTCAGTTTTTTTCGGTAAGAGATATAGTAGTGTTATATTTACTGCTTACTCGTGTTTATATTTACGGACCTAGCTTGTTTAGCGTTAGCTTGTAAACCAGTCGGCTAACTGTACTCAGTGTAGCTCATTATTTACATTATTTATATTATTTTCATTATTTACGGTCAATGGTTTAGAAATGTTTGTTGTTAAGATGTTGTTGTTGAAAATAATGAGTTTGTGTGATGTTAGAAGCTAAAGGTTCATCTCGGTGGTTAACCACAGACTGTAAATATGGTTATCTGACGTTATGATGAATGTTATACTCCACATAAATGTGGACATTAAAAACAAACTTTGTGTAGTAATTATCCGTCAGTAACATAAACTGAACTGAACCTAATGTGCTGTGTAGGTTATAGAGGATGACAGTAAAGTTGATAACATGGTTGATGTAGTGTTTTAAGATTTGTGCAAACTGTTACCAAATAAAAAAAAATGCACTTTGTAAGAGCATCTGTAACCATTAAGAACTATATTAATAACCATATTAATTTTCACTGAACTCATACACAGAATATAGCAGTAGAAATATCAATAACATATGAAATATGTATGAAAATAAGATATAAAGCACATAGATATAAAGTATAAGAAATAGTTTGAAGAGTACAGCCATGTACTGAGCTCATGTTAATAATAAATGAGTTACTGTATGTTCTGTACTAAAGCACAGAGAGTTGGGACCTGTTAATGATTTAAATAATTCAGGTTATATTTGTTTCATGTTAAGATGAAGTACTATCCACAATAAACTGCTTAATTTTTCCTCACCCAAAATCTGAGACAATTTGATGTGGAATATCATTGTGTGAGTGAGAGAGCTGAAAACAGCATGATTACAATAATGTTTATCTTCTTAACTTTGAATAGATGTTGATTACCTGAATACTGTACCTTTGTTGTCTGGGTAGTACACTGTTGAATTTATAAATGTGCTCTTACACACAGATGAATACAGAAAAATAGATGAGAACAAACAAAATGATTTAATGAATAACTGATATTTTCTCTCTTTCTTTGCCATCCTGAAGACCTCTCACTAAAAGTCCATGTTCTCCTGGATCCATGTCACATGCTCGAGCTTCTTCTGAATGACTTTTCAACAGTCGAAGTTCTGCTGAGAGAAGATGGCCAGCAGATAAGACAGCAGTACATCAACGAGCTCCACAGGCTTCAGGAGGAGGAGGAGGGTTTGCACCTTGGAAGACTGTATTCATGCTGTTCAAATAAAAATAGATCTCCTCCAAACAACTTGCAATCAAACTATTTTCTTCCCATTTTAAAACCCTTTGTCCAGTTTAGATGGGAGAAGTTGATATTATGTGATATTGATCTGGGAAGACTACATTTCTAAATCATTTTTAACTGTGTTTTTATTCACAAGTTATTGATCTTATTTACTCTCCATGTATCTTGATTTAAGAATGGGGCTGTGTTTAAGGTCATCATTTTGCAATGACTCTGTTCCATCCCATTTTAAGAAATGAACTGCATTAGTATTTATCAAAAGAATAAAAGGTTGTGTAAAAGTAGACTTCCTTCCCTAAGCTATTGAGTTGAGCATTAATGCACATTTTAGTCTTGTCATTTCAAATCTGAAATGTATACTCATAAGTAGACATAAAGGAGTCTATTTATATAGAAATATTTATTTAATCTGAAAAACAACATTAAAAAAATCTGTTTTTACAGCAGAGATGAACATGTTTACAGCTTGGTACAAAACAAACAAATAGATCTGATTAGCTCATGTCTCGATGGACACACACTGTACGGGGGGGTGAATGTTTTGATGACTCATCAGTTTTGATTTGATGAAGGATAAGAGTTATTCACAATAAGGCGTGTAGCTGACCAGCTTGACAGGCGGGCGCGGGGTAACGGTTTGTCAAGAGGCTTAAAACACGCCTCAGCTCTCAGCCTGTGGGTGTCATCACTCAGGCCATCCGGGGGAGACCTCCCTCACAGCGAGCTGTTGAAGAGAAGTAACCGAAGTCCACCCCAGAAGAACCAACAAATGCAGATGTTCTTGAGGCTCAGGTTTCTTCCTCTGTCTCTGCAGCTCTCTCGGCACCTCGACGGACCAGTCCCCAATAATCCACACTGTGTCTATAGGAGAAATACAAAGGTGTTCAATTAATGCCTCAGACAAGACAAAATGTACAGTTAACTACATGTGACAGCTCAGGGTGTTTTTTTGTTATGAGCCACATCTGCAGGAATAATATTGAACAAGGTAGCTGCAACTCATAATAATAGATACCAGTCTTAAACACTTTTTTTTTCTAATACTTAGTTTTTGGTGTGAAGCTGACACTGTCCACAGACTCCATGACTTCACGGGGTTCTATAGAAAACAAATGTCTTATAATAAATACTAAATAATTATTTTTCAATTGTCATGTTCACCTCATCGCTGTTGACATCAGTAAATATAAAACACAGACATTCCTCTTTTTGTCAGAACAGTAACATGAACTGTATGCTTTGTAATATTGATTTCTTCTGGATGTCTCATTTATTTACAGTTTATGGATAAAACTTTGTTAATGTATTTCTCTGCTAACACTGACAAAGTCTAACTTCTCTAACAAATAACTAATAACCATGATTGTATATTTAAAAAAGTGTAGTTTTAAGACTTTAATTAAATATTTGTGTTGAATATAATTAGTTTTAACTGTGTTGTAGAAAAGTTAAATGTTAACTTACTGTTTGTAGAGTTTTCTCAGGACGAGCAGGAATAGGTGATGATAGCAGCCTAGCTGTTAGCTATGCTGTCAAGTGGACTGCTGACGTCGAGCTGAATGGGCGGAGTTAAGTCCCGCCGGTCCCGCCTTACTGCTGTAGCTAGGTTGATCCGAAGTTAGGTTGAGACTGCAAATCCAATATGGATGCGGCCGTCGATTGGACTCATTTTCTGCCTATGTAACAGACGGGTCAGGGTTCGTCCAGTAATATTTACAGTCTATGGTCAGGCAGTGGCTCATGTGGAGTTCAGATCAGCTGTGTAGCAGAGTAATGACAGGTCCATAACAAAGATAAAAACAAAGCTAACTCAGCAACGAGTAACTTTCACATATTCGGCGCTGCTTCTGCTTTAATATGCATTTTTTTAACAGACAGGGTGAGTGCAATTTGGTCATCAGGAGCCACAAATTAAAAAATAAACATAAACATATGTTCAGTTTGAAGGCTGTTTCACTGCTACCAGCTTAGTGACGCTGCCACGTTTACTTAAACTTTATAATTATAAAAACCAACAATGTAACGGTATCAAACAA